GTATGGAGGGATGCACGGAGGTGTAAAGGTTGTGTATGGAGGGATGCACGGAGGTGTAAAGGTTGTGCATGGAGGGATGCACGGAGGTGTAAAGGTTGTGTATGGAGGGCTGCACGGAGGTGTAAAGGTTGTCCATGGAGGGCTGCACGGAGGTGTAAAGGTTGTGTATGGAGGGCTGCACGGAGGTGTAAAGGTTGTGTATGGAGGGCTGCACGGAGGTGTAAAGGTTGTGTATGGAGGGCTGCACGGAGGTGTAAAGGTTGTGTATGGAGGGCTGCACGGAAGTGTAAAGGTTGTGTATGGAGGGATGCACAGAGGTGTAAAGGTTGTGCATGGAGGGATGCACGGAGGTGTAAAGGTTGTGCATGGAGGGATAAACGGAGGTGTAAAGGTTGTGTATGGAGGGATGCACGGAGGTGTAAAGGTTGTGTATGGAGGGCTGCACGGAGGTGTAAAGGTTGTGCATGGAGGGATAAACGGAGGTGTAAAGGTTGTGTATGGAGGGCTGCACAGAGGTGTAAAGGTTGTGTATGGAGGGCTGCACGGAGGTGTAAAGGTTGTGCATGGAGGGATAAACGGAGGTGTAAAGGTTGTGTATGGAGGGCTGCACGGAGGTGTAAAAGTTGTGTGTGGAGGGATGCACGGAGGTGTAAAGGTTGTGTATGGAGGGCTGCACGGAGGTGTAAAGGTTGTGCAGGGAGGGCTGCACGGAGGTGTAAAGGTTGTGTATGGAGGGCTGCACGGAGGTGTAAAGGTTGTGCGTGGAGGGCTGCACGGAGGTGTAAAGGTTGTGCATGGAGGGCTGCACGGAGGTGTAAAGGTTGTGTATGGAGGGATGCACGGAGGTGTAAAGGTTGTGCATGGAGGGATGCACGGAGGTGTAAAGGTTGTGCATGGAGGGATGCAAGGAGGTGTAAAGGTTGTGTATGGAGGGATGCACGGAGGTGTAAAGGTTGTGCATGGAGGGCTGCACGGAGGTGTAAAGGTTGTGTATGGAGGGATGCACGGAGGTGTAAAGGTTGTGCAGGGAGTGCTGCACGGAGGTGTAAAGGTTGTGCATGGAGGGATGCACGGAGGTGTAAAGGTTGTGTATGGAGGGCTGCACGGAGGTGTAAAGGTTGTCCATGGAGGGCTGCACGGAGGTGTAAAGGTTGTGCATGGAGGGATGCACAGAGGTGTAAAGGTTGTGCATGGAGGGATGCACAGAGGTGTAAAGGTGGTGCAGGGAGGGATACACGAAGGTGTAAAGGTTGTGTATGGAGGAGCTGTGCTCAAATAAAAGTGTCCCTGTGCCCACCTCCTGCAAAGGTGCTGTGTCACAGGGGGTTGTCTCAGATCAATCCCAGGACAGGTTCCTAGCGGCTTTGTAGCACGTGTGTTATCCCATCTGATAAGTAATCCATGATCCAAAGGGCAGAGGCCCGAGCACTGACACAGCCTTTTCTTCCTCAGTGCTTGACTGTCTTCAGCTATTTCCAGCGTTTCTTGAGGTGCTGGGGTGTCACCTGGGAGGAAAGAGGGCTTGAGTCACACCACATCCAAGGGTCAGGTTGACAGAATCCCAGACTCATGGAATGGTTTGGGTTGAAGGGACCTTAAAGCTCCTCCAGCTCCAAGCCCTGCCATGGGCAGGGACAACTTCCACTAGAGCAGCTTGCTCCAAGCCCCTGTGTCCAACCCGTCTTTCAAAGCTAATGAAGCCTCAGGCTGCCTTCCTCCAAACCCAGATGTAATCTAAGAGGTTTGTCTTGTAGTTTCTTACAAACTCTGGACCTCTCTCTGCCTCCTGCTTTCTGTTTCCTCCTGTTCCTCTTTATGGCTTCCCCACAGCTGGGTATCTCCAAGATAATCACACATTTGGAACAATCAGAGCTAGAAATACACCCTTAAGCTCGGGTCTTGGTTGTAGTCCAGCCTCTCAGTCCTGAGATGGGAACACATGCTGTGTACACGTGGAAACCACAGACCGCGACAGCGCGGGGTAACAGCTTCTCTCTGTGGTTTTAGTGAGAGGAAACAGTTACTTAATGTAAGCATCTGAGAGATGCCAGCCCAAATCTGCTGCACCACTTGGTTCCAGCCACTGGTGGAGGAGATGGGCTTTAGAGTCTGTTATCATTACAGATTAACACCAGACAATCAGATACACAGAGATATACGCCAGGCAATCCAAAGAGCCAGCTCCACATGCTGGTCTCTGCTGCTAACTGATGGCGAAGCTTGAAGTGCTGCTGTCAGCAACCTCTGAAGAACAAGGAAGAAAGTTCTGTGGGTTATTACTGCGACTTAACTAAAGTTCCACTGGACACAATCACCCTGAGTCCAGCCCCTGCCATCACCTGCTGCCACGCAGCAGCTGCATTTATTGGATTTGAAAGGAGGAGGAACCGCTCAGCTGATCTCCTTTCCACATTCAAGGAAAACCAAGAGACTGTGATGGGAAACAAAGATGAGGTGAGAACAGATCATTGAGCACACACCTGGCTTCACTCCTGAGTGAACCCAAAGGGCTTCCCAGCAGCAGATCCCAGGCCTGGGAATGCAGAATGGGATGGGTCAGCATGTTTGGAGCATGGACTCTGAAAAGGAGTTAGCGCTGTGCATACAGGCATTGAGGAATCAAGTACAGCACGCTGTAAGCCTTGGGTTTGCCACCTTTCACATTCACAGATGCTCTCTTCTCATGTTAGGAACTGCGCTACTAAAGACCTACTTCTCCCTCACCGTTCAGTACTCACACACTTGTACTTCTTACTCTTACCTCTCTTCACGTGCGTCCTCCACTTCCTTCATCCAGAGCTCTGTTGCTTCCCTTCCCAGTTAGATTCCTGCTTCCTGACCCTCGCAGCTGGGCTCCACTGGCTCTGTGCTCAGCAGCAGAGGGTTCTGACACAAGGGGGCTAAAGGAAAAGTTACGCTCTAGAAGAGTCAAACCCAGTTACTTGATCACAGGGCAACTGATTCATGATTCAAATCATTGTACCTGTGTGTTTCCAAACCCCAGTCTCTATTTAGGACAGCCACAAACCTACCCCCAGCAGTTACTTGGTACAACTGACAGCTTGAATCTGATTTCCTCCTGTTGAGGGCTAAAAGGTGTTGCACTTCCCCATGTGAAGCTATCAGTGCATTAACACATTAAGAATACAACTGGCAGCAGTGATATCAGAAGAGCAGCATCACAAAGGGCTCTGAAGGGACTTTTCACCCCTTCAAGTTCTTTTGTCTCAAGGACACATCACCTAAAGGCAATTAAACCCCTCTTATCATGCAGCTGCGCCTTCTGGCTTCACTCCCACAGGAACACTCAGTGCAAATCACGTTCATGAGCAAAGGGCGAGGGATTCAGCCTTCTGCATGGGATCCAAACCACGAGCACAGTGGGAGTCACAGAGCTCAAGCCAAGGTGGCAGCCCCCACGTGTTCATCCCTCTGACTGAGCATGCTTTGTGCTAAAGAGAAACGCCGCATCGGAAAAACCAAGCAAGGCAGATCTTCCAGTTAGCTTTTATGAGCACTGGAGAAAGAACCATCTTACTTGTTCATAGAGAAAATACCTGGGCAGAGACTCACGGACATCACGTCCCTTGTGTGTGTGTCTGAGAGAGTTGTTCGCACCCATTTTATTGCAATGAATTATTCAAAACTCATTAAAACCCAGAGCGGTACCAAAGGGCAGAGCTCACAACGCGCCCGGCTTCCAAGGAGCCCTGAAAGCAGCGCGGTTAACAAAGGGCCTGAACCCACGGCTCACGCACGGCAACGGGCTTGGCTTCTTTCCGTCGCTGAAAGGCGGCATCTTCCTGCACCGAGGCACCAGAGTCTGGGGCACGATCAGGCTGGGGTAACTAAGGCTCAGCTGAGGTCCACAGAAGCTGAAAGGTGAAGATTTGGCCACTTAACGCAGTAATTGCCTGCAATTTCAGTGCCTCCGAATCATTCCGATTCCCAAGGAATTCCCAGCACAAGCGACACCCCACCCATGGCTGGGTTTGTAAAAAACACTGAAGTTCTGTTATTTGCTCACTGTGCGAATCACCTTTACATCCCACTGATGTCAGGCTTCTTAACCTCAACAACGCGTAGTCGTCCCGCGGCCGTTTTGGTTCTAAACCGTTAGCAGAGGTGTCAGTGCTACCTCTCAGCAATATCACATCCAAATCCCCCCCAATTCCTGCTTTTACGCACAAAAACCCCAACCAGCAGCACTGCTGTCTGCATTACAGCTTATGGATTAGGACATTCCAGAGGTGACTGCATTACTAGCAGCATACCAGTACTATTACAGTGGAATAGTCATCTTTATCGTCAAGTAAATCCCATCATTTGGTATTGCACAGTTACTTCTACTGGATGTAAAATACTCCTCCAAATAGCTTATTCCGGGATACGTAACACCACCAATCCTTAGGATAAATGTACATCCGATACCCATACCCATACTTTAGAGGTTGGTTACCGTGCCACCGCACTGCCAACCCCTCCCCAGCGGCACTGGGACACTGGCTGTAAAATGTCCTTTGCGGCTTTAGGAAGCTGCGACCGAGATCCTGAATTTCAGCTGAAGTTCATGGGAATTTTGCCATTTACCTCAACGGAAGCAGGACTCCCCCCTGCGGACTGAAAGGCCGTTCCCCATCAGCGATGATCGCTACAACAAACCACCACCCATGCCTTCGGCGTCTTGCAATGGGCAGAGTTTAAACTCGAGGATCCTCAAGACCAAACACCCTCCCAGCTCTTCCTTCCTGGAAACAGAGCGCGGCTGCAATGTCAGGGCGATGCTTGCGGCGCAGGCTCAGGCTGTTCCGAGGCACCTGGTGCAGCAGCGCATCGCGTACCTGTGACTCTTGGTCTGTTCAGTAACCACCCCCTCGTGTTACATCCCAAAGCACACCCAGAGCACTGCCCTTTGGAAAGCCTCACGGAGCAGTACCCCAGCATTCGCGCCAGCTGCAACGGCTGGATATTGACCTCAGTGGTGTTCTCCTTACAGCCAGCAGCCCGGCTCAGCACCATCCCCGTGCGCAGCTACACGGAGGGCACCGGAATGTGCCGCGCTGCCGCGCCGCCGCACTCCCGGTAGCGCATGGCGATGTAGGACCTGGTGAAGGCGAAGGCGGAGCTCACAGGCTGCAGGCTGTTGGGGGTGCTCACCTCCTGCGAGGGGCTGCTGTTGTAGATGCTGTAGTAGGGCTCGACGCGGGTGTTCATGGGGGTCGAGCTGCTCTGCGCGTAGTGCTGGGGCCCCGCGGAGGCCTTGGGGCTCAGCGCGCTCTCCTTGGAGTGACTGGGGCCGCACGCTTGGTCCAGGAGCTTCTTCTGAGGCTTGGGAGACAGCACGTAGGCCGAGTTGGTCTCGTGGTGCGACGACTTGTTCCTGTTCACCTCCAGGCTGCCTTTGCCCACGGCCCGGAGCCTGGTCTTGTGCTTGCAGCAGCAGCAGCAGCAAAGCAGTGCCACGTACTGCAGGCACCAGAGCACCCTCCTGCGCAGCCCCGCGCTGTTGCGGGAGTAGATGAAGGGGTTTAAGCCCGACTTGAAGAAGACGAGGGTGAACCCGCACAGCTCGAACTGGTAGAGGACAAAGCCTCCGCTGCCCGACAGCGTGCCCTGCACCAGCGAGATGCCCAGCGGCAGGCAGCACACCAGCACGGACAACACGATGGCCACGCACGTGCCCACGGCGCGCGCGTCCTTGCCCGGCGCCAGGTTGACGGCGGAGGCCTGGTTGCGGTAGAGCGCGGGCACGGCGAAGGGCTGCGGCCTGCGGGCGTCGCCGGGCGGGCAGCGGCGCACGCGGGCGTTGCGGCGCAGCACCTGCGCGATCATCACGTAGCACACGGCCACCACGGCCACGCAGCAGATGAAGTCGGCCACGTAGAGGTAGAGCGCGGCCTGGCCCTCGCGGCCGGCCACGGGCAGGCACAGGCGGGAGCGGCGCGTCCGGAGCGCGGCCAAGGTGGCCAGCGTGAAGCTGGTGGCCCAGAGCAGCAGCGTGAGCAGCAGCGTGCAGGGGAAGGAGGCGGCGCGGGGCGGCTGCTTGCCCAGCACCATGCGCAGCCGGTGCAGCGCGATGACCGCCACCGTCTTGAGGGACATGATGATGAAGCCGGAGCTGGTGAGGTGGAAGGTGAAGCAGAAGGCGCCGGGCACGCCGCGGGCCGAGTCGAAGAAGAGGACGAAGGCGAACATGGGGGCGGCCACGCCGCAGAGGAAGAGGTCGCAGAAGGAGAGGTTGAGGATCATGAAGTCGAAGTTGGTGCGCAGTTTGCGGAGGGCCGGGTCGAGGCAGGACAGCAGCACGATGAGGTTCCCGTAGGAGCCCAGGCAGAAGACGAGCGCCAGCAGCGAGGCGCAGGCCGCCACCGTGGCGCCGTGGCTGCCCCCCCGCAGCTCCGCGCCGCCGCCGCTCCCGTTCCCGCCCGGCGGCAGCAGCGCGGCCGCCGCCGGCTCCTCCTCGCCCGCCGCCGGCAGCCGCCCCGACCCGTTCATGGCAGCCCCTGCGCGGCCCGCACCGCGCCGCCGCCGCCGCCGCTCCCTCAGGGCTGCCCCCGACATGGCGCCGCCCGCCCCGCCATGGCGACCGCTGCCGCCGCCGCTGCCCGCCCCGGCCCGGCCCCGATCCCCGCCGCTGCGGCGCTGGAGGGAGGCGGCGGGGACAGAGCCCCCCCGGCCCGGCCGCAGCACGGAGCGGGGCTGGGCTGAAGGGACCTGAAAGCTCCTCCAGCTCCAAGCCCTGCCACAGGCAGGGACCCCTTCCACTAGAGCAGCTTGCTCCAAGCCCCTGTGTCCAACCTGGCCTTGAACACTGCCAGGGATGGGGCAGCCACAGCTTCTCTGGGCACCCTGTGCCAGCGCCTCAGCACCCTCACAGGGAAGAGCTTCTGCCTAAGAGCTCATCTCAGTCTCCCCTCGGGCAGGTTCAAGCCATTCCCCTTGGCCTGTCCCTCCATCCCTTGTCCCAAGCCCCTCTCCAGCTTTCCTGCAGCCCCTTCAGGCACTGGAGCTGCTCTCGGTGTGACCTGTGCGTGCAGGACATGTCCAAGTTAATGCACCAGGTGCTGGGGCACTGCAAGCACCCCCCGAGCTTCACAAACTGCGTCCAAGGCTGCCCGGGCATTTCCAGCCCCACAGCCTTTGGGTTTGAGCTGCTCCTTCCTATGGCTTCCACCAGGGCTCTTCCCATTAACTTCTATGAGCTCAGAGTGCCCCCGGGCCTGTCCAGCCCCACACAGGAGCACCATCGGGACCCCTTCCCCTGCTACAGGGCACCCAGGGCAGGGCCAAGGAGGGGGCTTGCTCCTGAAGGGAAGCCCTGGACTCCCAGATGGGTTTGGGTTGGAAAGGACCTCGCGATCATCCAGTTCCAGCCCTGTAACTCAGGGAGCACAGGGCAGCAGGAGGCTTTGCTCCAGTCACACTCACGCCTGTTCCAGGACACCAAGTCCATACCTGGGCACTCGAGGCTTTGAGGTCCCTCCCTGTGGACTCACCACGAAGAGAAGAGCAGCCCCATCCCAACCCCAAGGCAGGGTTTGTGCACGGGGGCTGCCCCTGCATTCCTGCAGCGCTTCCCTGAGCAACCGCAGCAGGATAAGGATCATAGAATCACAGAACAGTTAGGGTTGGAAAGGACCTTAAGATCATCCAGTTCCAACCCCCTGCCATGGGCAGGGACACCTCACACTAAACCATGGCACCCAAGGCTCTGTCCAGCCTGGCCTTGAACACTGCCAGGGATGGAGCATTCACAGCCTCCCTGGGCAACCCATTCCAGTGCCTCAGCACCCTCACAGGAAAGAATTTCCTCCTTATATCCAATCTAAACTTCCCCTGTTTCAGTTTTAACCCGTTACCCCTTGTCCTATCACTACAGTCCCTAATGAAGAGTCCCTCCCCACCATCCCTATAGCCCCCTTCAGATACTGGAAGGCTGCTCTGAGGTCTAAAGGATGCTCATGGGTATCCTTGCGTGCCCAGAAGCACAGGATCAAGGCAAAGGATCCGTGTTGAGAGGGGAAATAAACCCGTGTCATTTCTTTATCTGTTCACTGCCAGCTCCCACCATCACCAACGGCAGCTGCCCCCTGCAGTGCTGGAGAGCACTTCCAGGGATCACTTCATCACTTCTGCCACCAACCCAGCAATTCCTCGCAGCACTCTGAACTCAGGGGAGATTCAGGTTAGATTTAAGAAGCTCTTCCCTGGGAGGGTGCTGAGGCGCTGGCACAGGGTGCCCAGAGAAGCTGTGGCTGCCCCATCCCTGGCAGTGCTCAAGGGCAGGTTGGACACAGGGGCTTGGAGCAAGCTGCTCTAGTGGAAGGTGTCCCTGCCCGTGGCAGGGCTTGGAGCCGGGGGAGCTTTGAGGTCCCTTCAACACAAACCAGTTTGGGGTTCTGGGATTTCCACCAAAGCACCACTCTGGTGGGTACCTTGCTGGATGAACCACCACAAAACCCCTGCCCTGGAGCACAGGTACCTGTGGCCTGCAGACAATCCTGAAGATCAGATGAGGTTGAGGTGAAATTCCTCCCCTCTTACGGGAAATGCCATTCTCCAGACCTGTGCAGCAACATGACTGGGCACAGGAAGCATTTTGTGATGGGGAAATCCACAACCTTGCCTTCCAGTTACTGCACAGTGAGAATGTCAAACATCAGCTGGTAAATCACAGCAAGGGTAACGCTCAAACCCTGCGAGGACAATGGCCAGTGGAACCTTCTGCTGGTAAATTGCTTTATTTCCCCTTTGCCATCTTACCAGATTGTTGTGTTTTCCACAGCGCAGGGCAGAAGGAAGCTGGAGTCTCTGCTGCAGGATTCCAGGAAGCCTGAAGCTGTGGAAGAAAGTGTGAGACTGAACAGAGTGTGGGATGCTGAGGCTGTCTGACTGTCAAAACCTGACAGGAGGCATTACCCCGTCATCCCTGTGTACCCAGCTCCCAGCAGCCTGGTCGTGGAGTAAACAGGATGAGAGGGCAGATACCTGGATACAAAAGGAACAGGCATAATATACCGTACCAGGAATAACAACCTTCTCCTCCTCCATGTAAGATGAGCTCAAGTTGTCAATGACACCATCCGCTGGCGTGGGTTCTGTGGTGCCACCCAAAAGCACAAGTTCAGGTCTTATCCACCTACTTGGTAGCTTGCTTATACCATTTTTATCAAACCAAGCATCGTGTCTGTTCAGCAAGTTCCCACATGCACAAATAGGGTATGGAAAGATGGGAGATCACCCCACTGAATACGCTAGTGAGGTAGTCACTAACAGTACCTGCAACTGCAGGAAGAAACCAGAATCCCCCATACATGAGCTCTGCTTTACATCACAGCCACGTCTGGGGGCACTTGGTGGTCACTGGGATTACCTGTGCTCACCAAGGATGTCAGTGGTACCAGACCATCTCCAAGGTACTTTTTTCACCCCCATCTCCCTTACAGTTCAAGGGGAAAAATTCCCTCTTTTCACACTGGAGATGTCTCTCTCCAGCTTGAAGGCTTTAGGTAAGAGACAGTGTAAGACCGAGTGATGGAATGCTCAGAGCTCACTGCATGCATCTGTTGCTTGGGGAAAGCTGTGGAACAGAAGTTGCAATGGAGTTGTGGGCTTTGATGAAGACCTCAAGTTGGTCCTACATTGTCAGAACAGGAGACTAACAAACCTTCACCCCACCAAAGTCAGCCCAAGCCTGTTCACAATACCACAGGTATATTTATCCTATAGATCTGCACTTTGAACATGCACTCCGTTTTCTAGGTGATCTGTTTGAATCAAATCACTTACTGCCGATTTATAAACAGCTACTGTGAATTAACAGCAAAGACTTATTTGCCATCATAGCTCTGACCACAGAAATTACTCTATCCAGAACACTGTATCGTCAGCAGTACAACCAAAACCAGCTACAGTTTGACTAGAGATACATAAGAAAGACACTCTCAACTACAATAAAAAGCAACAGAGTTGGATCCTATGGTTAGCTGCCCTTACTGCAGGCAGCACAGCACATGTATCATCTGCTCCATCAGTGAACCAGCCAACACTTACAGATGATCCTCTGCAGCAAAGACTTTGCATCACTTTCAAAGCTGTTTCAATCCTACCAGCAAACCCCCTCCACTTCAAATGAGTTTCTCCAGTTTTAAGTGAACTTCTCACAAGTTCCCAAGGTTTTTGGCAAGCCTCAGCAGGTACAAGATGTTTTTATGTAACTACAGAAGCCTGTTTCCCAACCATTAGTACTACATCTTTAACGCACAATGTTGCCTTACCTCCGCGCAGTGAGCAACCTGAAGTTATACTTTCAGAGTAAGAACCTTCCACTTCAGCAACACAACAGAAGAAATGCAGCTGTTACAAACAGTCCATTTATTTTGTCTTAAACTACATACACAATTGAAATAATGATTTGGCACTACGCTATACAGTGGTTACATCCGTGTGCTGACACTCGGTGGATGCTGCCCCAGGAGCACCACTGTGCTTTCAGGTCCAGAATGAGCCACGCACTCGGCAGGAAGATCACTCGACATGCTCCCGAAGGGCTGCAGGGAAGTTGAATCACACACCAGGGTATGAACTGTTTCAGTGTACCTCACGCTCTAAGAGCCTATCACACTAGAATGTGTGATGCCAGCATTTGGAGATGGCCACGAGTGCTGCGTTAAGATCTGAACGAGACAGAGTAAGAATGAGATACAGGAAACCCAAAGCAAACCCTCCTGCTTTTCAGACACAAAGAGAGATTCTGTTAAAGAAAATAATTTAAAAAACTAATAATAATGGCATTTGATTCGATACAAAAGCCAGAGCTACTACTGTATTAACATCTAAGTATGAATCTTTACAAAGTAATCTCACAATGGTGTTATGTAAAAGGTTGCAAACTGTACAATGTTTTGTCAATGCAATGCCTCTACACTTTATACAGTCTTTTACAACTATGTAACACATATTAAACATGGTGTTAAATAGCCAATAGATACCAGTCTCTGAACAAAGCTGCAGGCAAGAAAATACAGAGCTCCCACCATCGCCAAACAAGATACACTTGCTCAAACAGTGACGCTCCCTGTGAGGAGTCATGAGCCATCCACACCGTGCACACGCTTCACTCTGTGAATCAGCCATCACCTGAGAGTCCACACTCCACATCTGTGGGTTCTAATGACGTGGAAACACCCAGAGTCCTCTCGCCCTTAAAAGTAAGCAGATAACCACAGATGTTTATTCCACACGTGGTCAAGCTACCTATGAAGACCTGGCCAGGCAGCAAGAGCTTTCACTCCCCGTGTTTGTCCTGCCATCATCTACACTGCACAGGAGGTCAGTTATGTGCATCTGACAAGGTACAAAAAGGCAATCCTGCCCTGAGGTGGACTGGATGGTACAGAGCCCATCACCCGATGGGCACTCAATCCAAGTAGTGAAAAATAAACTCTGAGGAGGAGAGGTTCCTGGTACTGTACACTGACTGGGTACGAAGCTGC